ACTCACAATGATCAATTTTCATGTGTTCAACAGCAACTTGAAAATCAAACATAGATCTAAAAATTATTGCAGGTCAAAGAGTTGCACTTACACCAAACACATGGTTTTTGGAAATTTTTGACAATACCTTAACAGTTGGATTAAACAGAACTAAGCATAAAATATAGACAATCACCATTTCATTTTCTTATAATAAAATAAATTTTTGTTTTCAGATAGTTAAATCAACTTATTTATGCAGAGTTCAGAATTAAGCTGGCTGTATACAATATACTAGGTACTAGATAGTCTTGAAACAACTCATATTAAAAGATTTTTCTCTGGTAATTTGGATTTTTTTGAATAACAGATCTTTGATATTATCTAAAGTTCATACAAAATATTTTCCCTAGAAGAAATTTGAGAATGTAAATTTAAAATGATTTCTTCCAGGCCTTTGTATAATTACACAAAATGTTAGTTTTTTTTCTTCTTTCCATTATAGTTTTCCCACAGAATGTTTTAATATCATGACATCAATGTAACATAATTTTTTATTTTGCAACACAAACAAGGTTGGTTTAGTTCTGATTGTTACTGTTGTCTGAAGCTCTTCAAAACTTTCTTTATTTATTAATATGCGACAAAGCTAACACACAAAGACTATATATTAATAATTGCGGCAATAAAAATTGTTATTAACTTACCTTTGAGAAAACTAAATTGACTTCACTATCAAATTAGATTCAGCCCAATAACAACTGAGACCAAGTAAACGTCTGATATTTTTTAACAAATGGATATAAACTATGTTTTGATTTATTATTTCACTCCAACTTCAACTACATTAATTCTTCTAATATGTGTTGTTCATTTTCATATTTGGTATGAAAAAGTATCTTAATTTTTTTATCTGATTATTTATGTGAAACAATAAATAAATAAAAAAAATACAAAAATAAATTTAAAAAAAATAAGAAATAGAAAATTTGTTAAAATATCTTTTGTGTTGAATTTAAGACAATCTAATTTCAATGAACATCTGTCTGCATTACAGAAATTTATAATTTCTTAGTCAGTCACTAATAGCTGTATGATGAAAAATTATAGTTTGTAAAATACAGTAAATAATTAATTATAAAAAAATGCTGGCATATGTTCAATGACAGTAGAAATAATGCTGGAGAGATTTTTTCTACTAAACAAATTACTGTTCAGGTCTGCTTGTTATTTTTTCTTTCCAATTTTTGTTTTTATTGTATTTTAAATAATCTATTTGCTGAATATTTCCTGAAAATGTTTCAACTTTTCACTCCTAAAAACTGAAGTTCTGAGTTAACTAGAATTCACTTTATAATTTGCTAGTACACAATATGTAGCAACTCTAAATCTAAAAAATAATAATAATTTAACTTAAGTCTCCTTCTTTCTAACATCATTTAAGTGTTTTTT